TCAGGCCCTCTTATTGCCTCACATGGTGAGGCAGTGAAACAGACAGTCTTCCCGGATCCTTTCACTGTTTTATGGTCTGGAAGTGAGAAGAGACTTGCTCTAGCACCACTGTCTGCCCAGTTGGTTCCAGAAACAATACTGTACTGCTAGGATGTTGATATGGAGGCCCAGTACCCCGGCTGCCCTATGTTGGTATAGGACACAGCATTTCTTAAACTTTTTAAGACCGAGGAACACCAATTTTTTTAATGAGGAACACCAAAGATTTTCTGTTGAGGAAAAAAAAAAAGGTGGGGGAGGAGGAGGAGGAAGGGTTGCAGGGGAAAGTTATTGAGCAAAAAACAATTTGCCTGCCCCTTTGAATTCTGTTGTTCTGTTGTTCTCCGTGGCACTCCTCCAACTGCCTCGCAGCACACCAGTGTGCCATGGAACACACTTTAAGAAACACTGGTATAGGAAGTTGACTCTGTCCCAGTATTTTCACTATCAGGACACCCCCAATATTTGGATGCATTTGGAGATCCTCCCTCGGTAGTTCTTCAACTGCTCTATGTGGGAGAAAAGGCTCTGCTCTCTTAAACTATTTTTCTGCCCCCATAATCTAGGAATGGACAGCCTTGGTAAGATCAACGGTCCATGAAGTCCAGTATCTTATCTTTTGACAGTGGACAGTGATAGGTGCTTCAGAGAGAATTAACAGAACAAAGCAATTATTGAGTCATCCCTTCCCTGTTGTCCAGTCCGGGTTTCTGCCTGTCAGAGGCTTGTTGACATCAAGGATAAGAGACTGTTTTATCTTTGCTAATAGTCATTGAAGGACCTATTTTCTGTGAAATTACCTAATTATTTTTTGAACCCAGTTATACTCTTAGCCTTCACAACCTCTCTTGGCAAGGAATTCCAGAAGTTGACTGAGTTGTATGAAGCAATACTTCTTTATGTTTGTTTTTAAACCTGCTTTCTATTAATTTCATTGTGTGAAGATGATCCCTAATTTCTTGTGTTAGAAGAGGTAAATAATACTTCCTTATTCACTTTTTCCATACCATTCATAATTTTATAGACATCTATCTTGTTCTCCCCCCCATTGTCTCTTTTCTAACCTGAGCAGTCCAGTCTTTTAATCTTTCCTCATGTAAACTGTTCCCTGCCACTAATAATGCTTTGCCCTTCTCTGTACTTTTTCTAATTCTAATACCTTTTCTGAGATGGAGTAATCAGAACTGCATGCATTATGACCCAGAACTGCATGCATAATTAGACCCTATTATTTTGTATATATGATTGGGATTACGTTTTCCAATGTGCATTACTTTTCACTCAGCAACATTGAATTTCATCTGTAGTTTTGTTACCCAGTCACTCAGTTTCATAACTCTTCACAACAAGCTTTGGACTTAACTGTTTTGAGTTATTTTGCATAGTTGACCCGTTTTATAATTATATAGGTATATGTTGAATAGCTCAGGACTCAGTACAGATCTTTTTTGGGGTGGGGAAAGGGGACCCTGCTATTTACCTGTCTCCATGTAAAAAACTGACCATTTATTC